CCCCAAAACCCCAAAACCCCAAAACCCCATGATTTGAAGATTTAAAACATACAGAAACGATCACAGATTAAAATTTATAATATAATGATTAAAAAAAATATCTTTTTGACTCTCGCGTACTTGTTGCTGGCTTTTACAACTGTGAATTGCCAAACATACAATTATTGTTGGAGAAATTTTGAAGATCCTGATGGAGATCGGACTAATCAAGATGTTATGATTTCATTCTTCTTGACCATTGTGCTATTATGTTGTTTTCACCAATAAAACCAAGGGATTTCTTAACTTTCTATTTCATTATAGTTTTTTATTGCTTTGCTTTTTACTTTCATAGTCTTTATAGTTCCGAGATTCGATAAGACACATTTTTCCTTGTTTTATTTATTTCTACTAATGAGCACCGAGGTTACTAAACGATTAATTACACCGCTCACAAGGTACATGCTTCTCAAATGGCAATCTAACTTTAGATTAGCTATTGGTGTGAATCGTTTCCCAATTGTTGTGGTAATATCGCTACACATCCTGTATTTAACCAATATCTCATCTTAAACTCTCTAACCCACAACTTCATCTTTTTTTTCATTTTTAATTACTATACCATTTAGACAATTCTAGTCCTATACTATTCTTAGCTCCAATAATCCATCAAATAAAACTTTGGGATTGCCTTGATCCATTCTATAGCATTCAAGTCTGGTGCCAAGAAAATAATTGTGGATATCTTACAGCTGCAGTCTAAGGAGCAAATGGATGCAACTTTTGCATCTAAATATCCTGAAGAAAATGAATTCATGGAACCTTCTCATTTTATATTCACACAACTGTTTATAAACACAGATGAAGTTGAGCTTAATATTCTTTTAATCTTTAATTTAGAATCACTTTTATATATCATCACATTTACATTATATTTACCTATATTAACTATTATCATTTTTACTCTCATTTTCTTAATCGTTAACATTTGTCATAAAATAATTTAAACTTTCATTTGAACAACTTAAAATTTTCATTCAACAGAGTCAAGAATTTATCTAAGAATTCTTTATTGTCATGTTCAATTATACTTTCATTTAGATAATATACTAACTAGCAAAACTCATTGAAATATAAATATAATAATAAATAAGATGTCTAACTGCATAAAGTAGTATTTATTATTTTAATCCTTAATTCTTCAAATTAAATGCATATTGGGGTTTTGGGGTTTTGGGGAGATCGGAAGAGCA